CAGCGGAGACATTGGCGCGCAGTGGCGCGACCAGCGGAGCGCGATGGGGTAGGTGTGGGTGGGTGGGCTAGATACGGGAGGTGTCGCTTTTAAATAGCTGTCTAACGCCAATAGACACCTTACGCCAAGCGAGAGACATTCTTCAGGCCTTTTCTCGCCACCCAGCAACTGCTACAGGAGGTAGGGTTACACCCCGCATCCTCCCGGATCTCTCGACCTGACGCCGCCACTGGCGTCGCAGATAAGCCGCCAGTCGTCGCCGCGTGCCGCCACGGCCGCCGCCGCCACCTGAGCCAAGCGCGAGCGCGCGAAACAGACACCGCCTCATGGCGGCGGCGGGTCGACGACGGTGGTGGTGTTCAAATTCGCGTGACTTTTTAAGGGCAATGAACTCAAAAGAGTAGTTGCATTAAACCATTCAGCTAAGTCGGGCACTCGCCGTCTAGCTTGAACTTGAACACCCTGTACAGTGTACAGTGTACACTGTGTGCATGAACATGAATCCAGGGACGTCTTCGTCCAAGATGGATGCATGAAGATCATGAAGATAGGGGCTTCGAAATGGCGACCAGTCGTTTATAGTGAGAGAGGTAACCACCAGACATGGGCCCTGGTGAGATCTCGTAGGTCCCACAGAGAACATCTTCAAGAGTATACAATAGAGGGAAGGAACGCGATCGTACGTCAAGACCCATGAAATTGCAGTAAAGGGAGGACCGTAAGCCCTTTCCAGAGGAACCCTTTTCCAAAACGTGACGCCGATGATCAATCAACCAGTTAATTCGTTCCCTATAAAGAACTTCGACCTTCGAAAACACGTCAGATTCTCTCCTGAAGCGAGCCTATACGCGCTCGCGACACATGCGGCGCACACCAGCCGCGTCAGAAGCGCCGCAAGCGCGGCGAAAATCCGCCAAAGAAGTGCGGCCCGGCGTCCTAAGCGGCATAATCTGCGCGCCTTCCGCTGGCCAAACACCGGAGCACCCCGACGCTTTGTGGTGGACCGGGGCGGGTGCGGGGCGGGTGAGAGAGGGTGCCGACCCTCAATAATACAGATCCCAGGTGGGATAGGCAGCGGACAAATCCATCAGACGAGCCGATAATCTGACAGAGGCGGCTGTCTCGGGCCGGAGGCTTGACCGGGCGCATAGTTTGGAACGTGGTGAGTTTATGGAGAGTTAATAACAACAAGGGAGGGGCTGCAGGTGATTTTATCCAAACAAAGTCAACCGTAGCTTATATTACGGTATGGCAACATAAAACAAGCCGTGAAGAATTCCACAGAAATTTTAAGGGGCATGTTCCGAAGAAGCCCGAACGCATTATAAATACATCACACCAACTATGAACACGACTCAATCACAGTTATTATTCCCCTTTTCCCAGCCGGTCACCGGTTCCCGAAAAGTTCCGGCAGGGTCCCGGCCGCTCCCAGCAGGGTTTCTGTCGGGTCCTGTCGGGTCCCTCGGCCGGGCGCGGCTGGCCCCCGGGGACCGGGGATCCACGGGGGGTCTGCCCGGCCCCTCCATCCGCGGAACGCCCCCCGCAGAGTCAGCCGGTCCGTACGGCTCAAAATAGCCCTCCGCTAAAGGGGTAAGTCACCCTTACGACATGTGGCGGCGTACAAAGCCCGGCTAAACGGTGGGACAGGTCGCGAAATTGTGCTGCCACGCCCTCTGGGTGATTTATTCACCTGCCTGTCCGGACCAGAGACAGGTCCATGGACGGGCGTAGGCGTTCCTACACCAACCCAAAGCTGCCTTCACAGAATGGCACGGTTTCCGGTAGTCGGAATTCAAAACGAGAAGACGGCACACGCCACCGGTTCGGCGCGGTGTTTGTTTTCGGTTTGGTTTTTCAATTAGTCGGGGAACGGCCAGGTGACATGGTGTTTGAACGAGGCGTCGTGATAATAACGGTAAGTCTGGCGCTGAGACTGGAGCACCGGATGTTTTTTATTCAAAGTACTGTAAGTTAATAAATAATACTTTTGCCGACGTGACTTCTCATTCCATACGTAATTGATGGAAAACTGCGACTGCTTTTTCAGCAGATACAAGTGACACCATCAGGAAATAAATGAAAATCTCCCCCGGGCTGACCCTTCCCGTCCTATGCTTACCTCTAACCTTCGCCCCCAGTCTGACCCCGCCTCTACCCCCTCACCCCTCGCCTGCACCCGTGCAGGCACGGGCCAGCTTCCGGGGAGACCACCGACCCTCGCAGCCGGCTGCCAGACGCGCCTGCCAAGACTGACCGTCCGTGAGGTGCCAGCACGCAGCGGCCGGGCCGCCGGCCGCTGCCAGCAGCCGCCTGCGCCAGTCATCGTCTGCAACAGTCATCCCCCGGGTTCTGTTCGCCCCTCCCCCCCCCACACCTGGCGGGCCCCTGTGCGCCCCACCCAGACACCCCTGCCCGTCAGGACCGCAGCAGCGGTGCCACGGAAACTGCGGTTAAGAGTTAAGACCGCATCCAGCAACAAACCCAACTGCCAAATATTTTCATGTTTTTATAAATAATTCCTCAAATGAATTTCAATAGAAGCTTATTTTTTTCAGCGAAAGTATTCATTGTGCCTTGTATCACCCCACCAATTAAAATACAAAAGGACTGTCAGTAAAGATGTTTGTTTCGTTATCAGCTCGTGACAGGAAATCCAAATAAAACAGGCCCCAAACGGCAACCCTGGCGAACACCTGGCATCAAACACAGCCAAGCACAGGCGGAGGCCGGGGGAGAGAGCACCATTTTTGTAAGGGTGCAAATGCATGCTCGCCGAAGGTGCGTTCTCCCTGACCCCGCTGAGCAGAGTGGAGTAGAGTGGGGGGAGTGGGAGGGGGGGTGCGTGCTCCCAGTCGGGTTCAAACCCCACCTCTCTCTCTAATGGCGCGCTGTCTGGGCGGGAGCCGACGGCTGAGAGCGCGGCTAATAACACATCAAAGGTTCAGACAGCACCGGCGGCACGGCCCGTAACGAGAACGGGGCGACGCGACACGGCGAAAACGATATATGGGAGGGCGAGGAAAGGCGTGGGCGGGCAACGCCATATGCAACGCTTCTGCAAGGGCGACCAAGCCTATACCCTCAGAAAACTGAAAAAATGATGCAAAAAAATCAGCTTACGACCAACAGTCACAATTGCATGCGGTGTTGTAAAAATCAGAAGCGAAAGTTTTCAAAGAAATGTGATTCCGTATTGGACAAAAACCTTATGATAATCGCAATTAACACTCCATTATTATGTACAATGTAAGCGCCAGACGTGACGAAGTCATCATCAATTGACAATTGCCAGCTCTTTACGAAATCCATCGAGGTGCCAAACCACACTTCATCCACCCATCTGACACCTTACAGCGAATCAAACACCTGTCCCCAACCTCACAGTGTCTAATGACGAGGCCTTCGCAATCATCGCCGAAAAAAGCTGTATCGTCATCCCCACTATACCCTGTCCATCAAACCACATACAAAACTCCTCATCCACCTAAACACCGTCATATGGCCGCGTCGGTGGCGCCGCTGGCGTCGAGGCATGAAAAACGCGCCGCCTTTCGGCCACAAAAAGCGCCAGCCACTCGCCAGAGGTCCCATCATCGCCGCCCGGGCGCCACTAACGCCGCAGTTATGGCGCTGTGGCGCACACTTTGTTTGGAAACAATTAGCCCGTCCGCCCCTGGCCTAGTCACCTCATTGAGTGGACCATTTTCCATTTGACACGGTGGTTTGGGGACAGGAGCGATTTCGCGCGCAGAGACACCTAAGTGATTTTCGCTTACGAAAACAGTTCTGCTAGTTCAACTAACGATTTTGACATGTGGATAGATAGGGGACATGACAGTCGCACACTAACAACCACGCAAATCACTCAAAGGAAATTATCACTAGACTCGTTCCTCATTTTCTGACACTCCTCCACTCCACAGACCTCTTCTCCCACGCTTCTGCCCCAAATCCACACTGGCCCGGGGTCCAGTGAACAGAGGCGGGGGCAGTGGCTGACCCTGCCACCGATTACGACCCGTTTGATTAATTTCCTCCAGCGTCTTGCGAGCGGTGGTCTCGAGCGCGAATCTCGCGCGCTGGCGCCGCCTCGTCCGCAGACCCCGCTCCCCCGCCGTCCAGATCCATAAATCATTGGGCCCACTGCATTCCTGGACTAACGAAACACAAGCACAGTCGGCAAAAACAACGGTCCACCCCGGGACCGGATAATGAGAGAGGATTTGGACCACTGGTCGGGTCTAAGACCGAGTGGGGGATCGGGAGAGATAGAGAGGACGGATGTGAACCCTTTCTTCTTTCATGCGTGAAAGGGTTTCACGACACCTGCACTTCATAACGATTATTGACTTGGTCAGGGCCAATTGAGAGATTCGACTAACCCCAGACCAGCAGAAAAGGCTGAGTGAGGTTAGAAACTATCCAGCTGCACATACCTACGTGAAACCTGAACTTGTAGCTCGTCTAGCCAGCCACATCACTCTGATTCGTAGCTCGTCTGCCACATCACTCTGGATACGTCAGCCACATCACTCTGGCGTCCACCCAACCCTGCAACTGCCTCAGCTGCCGGCGTCCTCCACTTCGCCCACCGGAAGCTGCGGCACGCCTCTTCAATCCGTCCCAGACATCTCCTTCCCGTCCAACCGCAGCGCCGCACGTCTGGCGCAGACAAACCTGGCGCCGCACGGCGGCCAATGCGCCGCAGGTGTGCACACATGAGACAGATGTGACGCAGGCGGTGCGCCGGCCACGCCTCGTTAACCGGGAGCCCCGCGATAGCGTCGCATGGCTGGAAATAGTCCATGGCGCGCGGAGCTAGGCGGCCCGGTTGGAACCCGGCGGGACCATCTGGCCAGGGGCGTAAAGTTTAGGTGAAGTCGCCTTGGCACCGGTTGCAGTGAGTCAGCCTGATGAATACTGGCGCCTGCTCTTGCCGCAAAGTTTCGCGGTTGCAGTCAGACAGGAATTAAAATAGAAAGTGAATGATGGTAAACGTTGGCTCAATAAGACAATTAAAAATATGTTGATTTTCAATTGTTCATATCACATTCATGGCAATCAAATGGCCAGCTCGTTGTCTTCAGTTGTCATGACAGGCAATGGCAGTTGCCGTCAACGCTAACGTCAGTTCAGCCGTAATGTAACGTCAGTCTCAACATCAGTCCACCGGGCAACGTCAGTCCCGACCGTCAGTTAGAGACTCAGTCGCCATCAGTCCTATCGTCAGTCGCCATCAGTCGCCGTCAGTCACCGCGTCAGTCCCACCATGTCCCACCGTCAGTCGCCGTCAGTGGCCGCTCCAGTCACCCCTCCCCCACTCTCAGTCAGTTCCAGCCTCAGTCGCCATCGGCCCCAACGTCAGTCCCCACGCCAGTCGCCACGTCAGCCCCACCGTCAGTCCTATCGTCAGTCCCACCGTCAGTTGCCGTCAGTGGCCGTCAGTCCTTGCGTCAGTTCAAACCTTAGTTCAGTCCTACCGTCAGCCGCCGTCCGTCTCCGTCAGTTCCTGAGTCACTTCCAACGTCAGTCCCACCGCCAGTCCCAACATCAGTCCCCAGCCACGTCAGTCCCCACGTCAGTGGCCGCTCCAGTCCCACGTCAGTGGCCGCTCCAGTCACCGTCAGCCCCACCATCAGTCCCACGTCAGTGGCCGCTCCAGTCGCCGTCAGTGGCGGCTCCAGTCACCGCCACACCGATCCCTCTGATAACCGGACGGGTTCTGGCCGACCCGGCGCGGTCCGAGCTGATCGCTGCCCTGATAACGGCAGGTACGGCGACGGGTCCGCGGCGCTGTCAGACTGGCCGGCATACCACCCAGTCTGGACACATCCGGACACCTTAGTGGGCAGACTGGAGTCTGGACACAGACTGGCCGGCATACCACCCAGCCTGGATACATTCAGATACCTTAGCAGGCAGACTGAGGCAAATATGTACTGGACACAGACTGTTGGACAGTCTCGACTCTCGAATCGACAGACTTGGCGACTTTGCCGGACAGTCAGGGATCGCCCAGTCACCCCGTAACGCAATTATTACACTCCTGGTTCCAGGACGCCTCGTGGAGTATTACTGGACACCTTGCCAAATAGTGTCGAAAGCGACACTTGCAACCTAGCGGAGAGCATTCTGGGCATCCTGGCCCCTTCCGCAAGCGAAATGGACAGTGGACACTTCGAACAATTTAGCGAACAATTCTGAATTCGCAAGCTAATAAGCTGCTCAACAGCCAGACAGACGATTGGCAGACAGCCGGCCAGACGGGACAGTCTAAAGGCTAAACGCATATTTGCTGGAAGCCGCTGCCGTAACCAAACAAGCCCCACCAATGCAAAACGGTCAACGCACACTGGATGGAGTCCGGTAACCAAACGAGCCACCTGACGAACAAACAGCGGAACGGCTGCCGAACTAAGCAAACATGGTGTCCAAGTTGCGGAACCACCACGTCCTTCCAACATCAGCTTCAGAAGGATTGGTTCGATAAGACGAATCGAATCGCTTGATGTGGAATATTCTATGGTCACCTTTTAGTGATGAATATATGGCGGAAATGATGAGCCGCCAAGCATAGCAAGTCAGGGTCAATCAAGCTTCCCTGGCTTCTCCTGGTCCACCTTCTAGCATGTCCCGTCTTGACTAACCTCCGTATGTGGTACGCCCTGTACCCCTACCCACTCACCCCCCCCCCCCCCCCCCGCCCAGTATCCCCACAGGACTTACCATTGAGAGGGATCCACTGTAGCTCGAGTAGAGGCTGTATGGGTAGCTGAACGGGTGACGCTCAGCCAGGGGCTCGTACGGCCTCCCACCTGCCAGAGAGCACGCCAATGTCGCAGGGTCAGCATGTGGTCAGCAAGCGTAAACAGGCGACGATAAGGGCTATATTGGTGTGCGGCAAACAAGGACTAATTGTGAGATGGGGAAAATATATATTGACAGGAATAAGCGGAGCCCTTGTCGTTTGAGTGATCATCTGAAATAACTTATGTCGTTGCCTCCAGAAATTGCATCAGATGTATGATACCTACATAGAACAGCAAAGTTATGCTGAAAGCTAAGCTCAAGAGACAATAACTTGGGCAAAAAACGCTTGCAAAATTACCTTGTCAACTTCGAAATCAATAACAGTCGTCTTTATGTCACTCAATGTCCATTTCTCCTGTTGATCAACTAACAAAATACCAGCTCTATAAGATCACACAAAAACACATCTTGTCATTCCGTTCTAATCCCCCACCCATCCCCACCTGTCATCTTGAGGCACGAAGCGCTCCCCTCCCCCTGCCCTCAACTGCACCAATCAGCACCTATGTAACCATCACCACCTAACACCACCCCCGACACCTATCGTGACGCACACGCCACATCACACCTCTCGGGAACCAATCGCGACGCGCGTCGGATTCCGAAGGCAAATTCGGCGCGGACGCTGTCGCCTCATTAGAAGGAGGAATTTAATAATGCTGCGATGCTGGTGTGATAGTATTGTGGTCAGACAAGCCAAGGTCGCTGTTAGCGTCCCGTCGACAAAAACGACCCCGAACTAGCCGTCACGGAGGGCTTAACGACCGGTGGGACACGATGGGATATTGTGGGATACAGTGGGACACGGTGGGGTACTGTGGGACAAGGTGGGATACTGTGGGATACGATGGGGCCAGGTGAAATGGCAGCACGAGACACAGTGGGACACGGTGGAAATAAGTGGGCAGGGTGGGACATACTTGGATACAGTAGGACCAGGCGGGATATCTTACTGGGATACAGTGGAAACAGCTGGGATAATGTGGGGCAGGTTGGGATGGTGGCGAGATATGCAGTGGGACAGGGTGAGATAGTGAAACAGGGTGGGATGTAGTGGGACCCAGTGGGACATTGTGGGATACAGGACAACGTGAGGAAAGTTTGCACCTAGTGGGATAGTCATACAACAGTGGGATCGCCGATATTTAGTGAGGTTAAGTGAGAATGATATGACGCAGGAATGTGTATGCAAGCCATACTGCAGATATTTGTTATGGTTATTCAAACCACAAACCATTGACTTGTTCATCAAATTCCATCAGTTCAGAAAAAAACTAACTGAAAAAGCTGACTGTTCTTTCCTTATCGTATGTAGTCGGTGTACCTTCAAGACAAGATATATTCTATGCTGACAGATTAAGAAATTAATTGCTTCACAACCAGGCCATCACATACGACACAATCCGAACCCCAAAACATCGATTAATATGTCAGACTCGCGACAAAAACCAGAGAACCTGTCACCTGTTCCAAATTAGGGTGACCCACACCACCCTTCCTTGCCTAGGTCCCTAATGAATCGGTCAAAAATATCTAGGAACAACACATCGATAAAAAGATCCAACGAAAATCGTGTCCACTTCACGTGCTGGTGAGGTATTTCATTTAATCCATCACCGATTTCGATTTGATATGAATGAATAAGCACATCGGAGAATCAATAAACAAGTAATTTATAACAGCTGTGAAACGGGAAAAATGCAAAGCTATTTTTCAGAACATCGAAATAACTTTTTGCAAGACTTCTTCAAACCTTCAGTGCAAAACCCAAGCTAGACATTAAGCGAAAGCAGAGTGCCACAAATGTCACGTTGGACCTTTTCCTTTTACCGAAATCACGTCAAAATTCAGAGGCAGCTGTGCAGAAGCTGTTGAAAAACGACGTATGCCAAAAATTCCATCACGTCACGCGTGCACATTATCGCTTTCCGCCCTCACCGCCAGGTGGTATCAGAAATATGGCCGTCCCTTTGTTTTGATAAATGAAAAATAATGTGTAATAACACGGTGTCATTGTTGAAATTAATTGGATGGGGACGGGCCCACAGACGTTATCTCAATCTTCTCATCCAAATTATTGATTAAATAAACGCTGTGATGTTATCAAACCCGTCTCGTTTATCTATTTCCCGAATTTAGAACAAATTTTGGATCATTAATATCGTAACTTAACATCCACTCATCCCTTCCCAAAAAGTAGCGAAGGAAGGTGGCACAGGCACAGGCCAAGAGCCAAGAGCCGCGGTCACGGTTTTGAGCGCATCAAAATCGCATGCATGTGTAAAAAAGGCAAACGTTAGTTCCGGGAATTTTAATTCATATTTCTTATATTTCTGGGCCCCAATACCCGCACCCGTTCCCTCCAAAGTGCAGTCAGTTTTCGCTCCGCGACTGCGGATTGTCGGCCGACGGGGAGCCGGGTTCCCCGATCCCCGGCTTACCGAGAGGTCCGAACGCCGAGCCGCCTTCATTCTCACGGTTGGAGCCCGCATCAGTCGCTTTCTGGAACCAAAACAACAGGAGACAGTGTCACATGTTGTGAGTCAACTCTCCCTTCCCTCAGGAGGCCCTAAAGGGGTGAAATAAACACTCGCTAACATTACACCCCACCAAAGTCCGGCCGCGCTGGCATAGCGACAACGTGCAGATCTGACTTTGGCCGGGTGTTTTTATGGCGGTCGCAGCGTGGACGTCGTCCAAGTAAATAACATGTCCACTCCGGTAGCTGTGAGATGACCGGCGAAAATTGTGCACAGTTGCTGAACGGCCCGGGGCCCCATCTGGTGTCCGAGTCCACTGCTGCGGGTTGGCCGGCCGGCGCGAGCCCGCTCAAGGTCTCGGAACCAGTTCCCGACGCGGCGCCGGCCACCGCGCGCTCTTGAGACGCTGGCCGGCCGGTATCCCCGACGCAGTCAACAAAGCCACAATGCACGGAGTTACACGCTCATTGCAGAGTTTCTGGGGAATGATTGAGTTCACCTGACGGCTCAAGTGACTCTAGATAGATGCTAGAGTCATGACTCACCGTCTCCGACTCGGTGATGAGGCTGCTCTTGTCCTCCGTCAGCCCATCCTCCACGTTGAGGTCCTCCGCTCCCAAATTATCCTCATCATCCTCCTCGTGTTTGAACACCTTCACCTCATCCGTCGAGCCTTGTTCGTCGCCGTGCGGCATTTTGGCAGCGGTCGCGCACTCGTTCACAGCACCCACGCGGCCACGAGGCCCTCAGCACCCATCACCAGCGCGACCGTCACCGTGCGCACACTGGCGGCCGCGGCGGCGGCGGCCGGCGGCCGGCCGTCGGCGAGTCTATGTCGGCGGCCGACCAATCAGCGGCCGCCTCTGATCCGGGCGCCGCGGTGCCTTCAGAAGTGGGAGGGTGCTAGCTTCTGAACCGGCGCGCGCGCGCACGGGCGTCAAAGTGCCGACGCCGGCGGCTGCCCTGTGTCGGTGGGATTGTAGTTTTCAGGTGATGATAACTGGGCCAAACTGGGGTGGATTTCAATCGGGTTTTGAGTAGATGAGTGAGTGTGTCAATGGGAGAGTAGTGGCAATGAATGGTGGCGTGAACACTGAATGGGAAGGTGCTATAGTGGCTTCCCCGTGAGGCGGTATACTGACTTACCGCGATGTACCGAGTGATCTATATGCAATGCAGTTTCAGCAGCTCACTCATCACTGACATGTCCAGGGGGGCGGGGGGTATTTGGGGCGAATACCTCCCGGAGTACCGATCCAAGGCCGGCTTTTGGATTCACCAGCCTATACAGCAGCTCATCGTGAAAATGAAAAACCAGTGGCACAGTTAAAAAGTGATTGAAAACCAGCACACGTTCCAACCGAGTGCATTACACAATTATTTATTTTTCGCAATATAGATAGATGGCCTCTGAATCACGTAACATATGAAAGTGCAGGCCATGACCTGGGTCAGGGACAGACGTCACTTACCTACCTAAAGTTTGCGAAGTGCGAGGTCAAACTCAGGTCAAAAACCCAGAGCTCTGACACATTTTAACCCCATCCTCCCACGCCTTCCAAATATTTATGCTTGCCGCCACCTGGACAGCTCAAGCAGCAGCGTTTGACTCAAGCAGCTTGAGCGAACCGTTCTGGCGCCTCTCCATTGCTTTAAATTAATGTTGTCAATGCCAATTGATCATACATGATTGCGCTCAAATGACGCTCGCTAAAGTTGCTCGCATCGATACTGATGGGAAGACACTGTCGGATCCAGAAAAGCCGCTTTAGACGCTGCAGGGATCATATCATACTCGACCCCCCAAAAGAATCAAATTCCCAAAAGCATAAACGCATATTGTTTCCTTATACCTTGCTATGCAGTTTTCAGCAAACTTTTAATACGAAAGGTATTTTAGCTTTATTGTTATGTGAAGAAAACTGCAAAATTACGCCAGCTTGTTTCGTGCACTGCGGGAGGGACAAATGTTTTAAATGTCCCAGTGGCATCCACCAGTATAGGAATAGAAATATTTGAGTGAATCTCACATTCATTTGGTGCATCGTACTCGCTTGCTGATCAGCAAAAGGCGTTATAATGAGCAATATTATACAGAACTTGCAGTAAAGCTTAATTGGGCTACGCACGCAAAACTGTATAAACCAGCTAGCACTTTCAAAGCTCTAGCAATTCACTGACGGATTAAGTGGGGGGGGCATTTAGGGCTATGCCCCCCCCCCCAAGCCCGTTTGCCCACCTCAAGAAAAAGACCGAGTTTTAACATCTATGTTAAAACTTGTTACTTGTTACTTGGTGCATGGAAAGAAAGGGGCCATTTCGGCCAACTGCCCCCCCCCCAAAAAAAAAAACGTCCGGCTGGGTTCACCAATGTTCAATTGCAATAGCACTTTCCGAACCCTCATAAGAGTATGTAGAACTCAAAAGAAGAAGCTCCAAAGAATCCCCTCTTTGTTTGAGCAATTAACTATCACTGGCAAACGCAAACTGTTGCAGCAGCTAATGGTCCAAGTGTGGAATTTATCAGTTCAGCCGGATACGCTATCGAAACCATGCGTTGACCTGCAATGGACATAACACAGTGTTGGTGACATTAATGAACTCTACTGGTGCTATGGAAGGGGGATGGCAGGGGGTCTGTTGATTGACATGATTGAAACCAGTACCGGAATTCATTAGACACACTCCAGTGGCAGTCCTCAGCCAGTGTTATTTGTCAAAATGCTGTCACTTTGGACTCTGCGTGTTCAGTGGACTGGTATACAACTCTGCGGAGGTTATTCGATATTCGTTTTCGATATTCTGGGTTGTCTATATTGACTTAGGTATATAACGGAGTTTGTGTCCATAAAATAAGTCTTGTTTTTGCAAACTAGGCACACCTATCAGTGTAAGCCTGCGTGCAGCTTGAAATAATTAACCCGCGCATGACTGGGGTATTTTCCAAAACGAGAGTGACTGAGGGGGCTCTTCAGAGCCCCCTCCTATGATCTCCGAAACCACTGGGTCGATCGTCAAAATTCAAGGGGCTTCTGATCGCCCTGGAAAAACTGTCAAGGGAAACTGATTTGCATTGACCTCGAGGTCACCGATGACGTCACAGGTCAGGTCAAAGTAAAAATTATCAGCATTTTTGCTTGTTCGCAATTTAGCATCTGACCGCCGGCTGACACAGTAGCGGCGGAACACCTTCAGTTAAGGGGGGGGGGGGGCACTGCCGACTTTTGGTCCCATTCTTTCCATCATGCAACGCCCATAGGGCTAATGTTAAAATGCCCAAATCAAAGGGGCACGGTGCCCCGGTGCCCTCCCCGTTCCGCCGCCTATGGGCTGACAAGTCCGATCAGGCCCATTTTTGGTTTACGCACTACAATCGCTCTCAAGAGCTTAGTTTTTAAACTAGATCAAATTTCCTTGCAAGAGAGGACTCAGAATACTGCCCGTGGCTGAATGCCCGGGGCTGGGGCAATTCACTGGGGCAATGAATGAATGGAGCTGAACACCGCACCCAACTGTCTGAACCATTCATTGAATTCATTCGTTCATTCATTCATTCATTCATTCAATACATAGTTATGCCCTGATATGGACGTCCGGGTCGCGGCTGCAGCTCTGGTATTGGCAAATATTTGATGCTCGTTTTTGTCTGCTGCCATTGACTGCTCAATATGGCAAATTTTACCGACGAAGGTACCGCATTTAATCTGCCACAAATAACTTTTCATAACGCTTTTCTAAAATATCAAGATCTTCCATCTGTGTAGCCTGCGCCCCACTGGGGGGGGGGCTATACAGAGCCCCCTCGGCCCTCCCGTTTTTCTGCAATATTTTCTAAAACACTGGAGGTATCAACACGAAAGTTTCAGTACCTTTGGCTGCATTGATTGGACACCTTGTGTACCAGCAACATCTTGTAGCTACTATAGGTCGGCCGGAAATGACATCAGAGTGACGTCATCTTCGGCCGATATTGATGCAAAACAGCGAAGTACGACAATTGCTCTCAAAAGCTTAGCTTTGAAACCGGCAGCTAAGCTACGGAACCGGCAGCTAACCGTAGTTCAGTTGGTAGAGCGTTGGACTCCGCGTGGTGAGAGCACGCGTTCCCGGTTACAACAGTCCGGGTTGGAAGCGCGACGGGCGCTTGACATTTATGGGCCTGGCCTGACAGGTATGGTTGCGGTTGGTGGCAGGCCGTAACCAGGTGAAGTCAGTGAGGGGACCGGCCGTGCGCGGCTATGTGCGCACGTTAAAATTTGGACTCTAAATTCCAGGGCGTATTACAACGGATTTTCACTGGGTCGGCAATAACGATCAGGGGCGGCATTTCGCATCTGATGGGGGCGGCACTTGCATCTGATAGGGGCGGCATACCGATCTTTGATGATCAAAAAAAGGCGCATTCTATAGCTCTTTTATAACTCTTTCTGAGTGATGACTCAGCTCTATCCTAAGATCAACGGTATTACGTTTATTTTACCGCGATAGTAGTTCTCTGGCCACAATGCGTCAAACGAACTATAATTTGAATTTAAAAAGTAGAGTTGCAAATTTGACTTGAGGTCAAGTTCATGACCTGACCGGAAAAGACATGTTGCATACTTACTAATCGGTCCGCATCGTCAAGCTAAAAACATCCAGCGTTTTTTTTTTTTTTTTTGCTCTAGAACAGTGGTCGGGCAGGTCCCACCAGTCCCACGGGGTGGTGCCCACTTTTTGAGCGCTGGACGGGGTCATTACCCCCACTTATCATATCCCATTGCTTACACAGCAAGGGTCATGATATTTCATATCTTTTGGTGCTTCTATTTTTCTGCGTTAAGTTCGATCAGGTACCGTTTTCCCGACACTTGGATCATCGATCTGACCCGGAAGGTCAACGTAGGTCCTTAACCTGTGCCGTGCTGGGGGCGTTTTAACGCCCACTCCCCCACCCTCAGTTTTTTTTTTTGCGAATATCTCAAATGCAGCGGCTTTGGCAAATCTTATCATGCATCTTTTCTGCAATACCTAGGTCGTTCAAGGTCAGTTCACTAGGCCACGTCAAGTGAATTTGCCTCAGAAAAGTTCAAATTCTCGCTCGATTTAAAGTCAGTGGGAGAAAATTGAAAGGAGCATCTTTTGAAGGATTGTCAAACTAAACACTCAAAAATCCAATAACAGGTAAAAATGACACATTAAATCGGAAAATTGCCACCCATGACCCCTCATAACGTCCTTGAAATCATCTCAGGTCATGGAAGGGCTCCAGCACTTTTCTGGCAATAACTTTTGATATAGACATGCTAGAGCGATTAAAACACCTTAGTTCAATGACCTTGACCTGAGGTCAAATTTTCAAAATGACCTTTGAAAGTCAAATTGTAGTTAATTCGACGAATCCCTACGAGAGGTGCACGGTGCTGGCAAAAGCAATGTCGTGGCTTTTTTATGTCAAAAGTTTAAGTCTATTAGAGAAAAACATTCTTCATTTAAACGGCTTAATAGCGGTGGGTGTTTAAACACCCCCCTCCCCGTCCCGGCGCCGGTTAGGAGTTCCTGCCTAATGGAGGCTAGGCCGTTGATCTTAGGCCAAAGCAGCTGAGTATAGTCTACAAAAGGAACGTTGAAAGAGCTATCGAATGAGCTCTTCCGCGGCGCTGCAGCTCTATTTGTCCCCGAGTTATGCGTCGGTTTGTAAATAAATGTTGAAAACAAGCAAAAATTGACCTTTGATGACCTTTGGTGACCTGACATTTGGCCTGACCTTCAACTGACCATGCCACCTACACTGTAAGGAGCGCAATCATCACTTTGAGGGGCTGTGGCGGCACCATCACATTGAGGGGCGCCATGGGCATCTTGAAGGGCGGCAACATGACAATGATGAGCGCCTCCGACACTCAGAGACGCGTCAACATTACTCTGACGAGCGGGACCATCACTTTTGCTTTTGACGACACCACCGACACTCTAAACGGCGG